TACAAACTACCGCTAAAACTCTGAGAGGAGTAAGAACAGGTGTTAGATTGCATCATCTGCTTGAAATAGCTTTTAGTCACTGCGTAGTGCTTCAATGATCTGCCTACCGTTGAAAAAATTACCATTAAAGAAGGACAAATACTCCATCATTCTTGTCCATCTCTAGACCTGCTGAAATGTATCATCCAGTTAGCAATGGAAGAAATTTACTCACATTGGTGACACCACATAATAATGTGGAAGAGTTATGACATAAACAAAAAGCGCTCACAAAAATGCATCACTTAATAGTACTAGATGCCATCATTTTTACTCCACTGAGTAATTACATATTTAGTCTATATTAAAAATGAACATCAGTCTTTTTTTGAAAAAATCACTTTTCCAAGTGTCATTTGAGGTGATGAGTGTGTGCTATATTCATTTTCCCTTTTAATATTAAAGAGTACAAGATATTCTTTTATCTATTACCACACCTCCTATGAAGTAGGTAGTAATGGTTTCACTGCTGTATTTAAAGTTTCCTATGATCATTTGTTTTAAAGGAATGCCATCAATAAAAAAAAACCCTATACATTGCTGTCTGAAGGTTTTTTAAAACAATTATTGTTACAAATAACAGCTAAGATTACTAGAACTGAATGACTGAAAAACTGAAAAGTGAGAGGTCATTGCTTCCATGTATAGTCAGACAGACATTCTCCTTTTTGTGTGAGTTTTTCACGTAACAGGAGATAAAATAACTTTTTTTTTTTTTTTTTTTAAGATAGGAAAGCAACTGTAAAACAAAAACAAAAAAAGAGCAAAGTCTCCAAAATTACTTTGAACTTTTTAAAAATTGACCAGCTTTTGAATTATAGGCATTCAATTAAGAAAATATCTTCCTTTATTTTCTTCATAGTATGTACTGATAATATATAATTTAACAAAGTGTAAATGTCTTATCAGTTCCTCCCCACACACACAAAATGTAAAGTAACTAGCTTGCGTTTTTCCTTTAAAAAAAAAAAAAAATGGAAATTTTAAAGTTACAGAATAAATCAAACATTTAGAAAGTGTCCAAAGTATTGTAAAGGATCAAGTTTCAGTTTGGAAAAAATAGGTGTTAATTACAGATACTATAATGATATTAGTCAACCACTGTACTGTGTGCATTTTATTGACACGAAGTTAAAACCATGTACCACACTAAACCCTAACAGAGGGTTTGTCACAACTAGGTTTACTACCATTAATATATTTAAACTGGTATACCTCTTTTTCCAGTTAAGATAGCTGTTTCCAAAGAGCACAAAGGCTCATCAGAGATGACAGGAGCAGAAGTTTCATTTCCCTTGGTTGATTTCTCTTTTTTTGGTTAAACAGCTTGTGAAAGGGTCAGAGCAAGGAGGCAATTCAGGCTCTATGCTGATCAAGCCTTTGGGATCTCTGCCAACAAGGGTGCCAGTTATAGTGTAGAAATCATCCATTTAGAAATGAAGTAACACCACTAATTATTTCAGCAGTGTCAAACATTTGTTAGATGGTATTGATGTGGTTCACATTCCAATGCTGTAGAGGAGATAAACCTCCATATCTCATCACTAATTCCAAAACACATCCATGCTTATTCTACACCAGAAGTCATAATCCTATCTGATATCACAATCAGTTGCTATGGCGGTGATTATGGTGTCACAAAGATTACTAAATTTGCATTTGGAGTAATGCGTTTATTAACTCTGCAGGCATACCACTTCCACTAGATCCCTCAAGTCAGCAGGATCAGGCATGGTCACAGTACTGGAATGGTAATTCAGTCTTCTCAGCGTATGCGCAACATGCCTCAGGTGACACGTGACTAGGATTTACCACCGAATTTGGTCCTCTGGTTGGATCATTAGCTTCTCCGGCTTGGGCTGGGTACTGACTGGGAGTGTGACATGAATACTGATCCATGCTCCCCGGTAATTCAGTAAGTGGCCCTCTTCTCCCAGGTTTAGTGCTGAACCAATAACCCACAACAAAGTTTTGTATGTGTTTGGGTTCGTTCTGCTCCAGCTACCATCTTTTGGATGATGTACACCAGAGATTCTGAGTCACTAGCAATCCTATTATCCTTCCTACAAGAAAAAGGTATTAGCCTGGGTACACTGGCCATACCCCTGGTTGGAGGAGTAATTAAAAAGGTACACAATACACAGAAGACACTCAATTTTACAGCACCTTCACATCAGACACAAACAGCACATTCTTCCAGCTACCCAACAGCTCGGCTGACATCAGCAACTGGAGGAAATGCAGCTGGCTGAAGCAGAATCCTGGAAAGACTGAAATGATGCTGGTGGATTGACAGAAACTCTCCAAAGAACTCACCATTTTTACATCACCATCTTCCTTTGAGGGCATCTGCTTTCAGATAGTTCTAGTTCATAGCCTCAGTGACCATTTGGCCTGTGGAGGCCAAAACTGCCACTGCTGCAAAAACCTCCTTCTTCATTCACAGCTGGTGGGAAACCTATTCAGATTTAGCCACGGTATCCAATGATTGGCATGTTCATCACCTCTAAGCTTGACTATTGTAATTCTCTGCACCCAAGTACAAAACTATCAAAATAATAATAATAATAATAAAAAAATAAAGCTACTACTAGTTCAGAACACAGTAGCTTCTCTGCTCAGCCACAATGGTGGCCCGGTGCTCTGCCTCCTGCTCTTGCTCCCCTTGGATTCAAGGTTTTCATCCTCCTCTTCAAATGTCTTGATGTGACTGTCACAAGTTACCAACAGGACCTCTCCATCCTGCATGATCATGACCTCCCATGAAACTGGAAACATCAAAGTGAAACATGCAGAAGATGCAGGTTTTTTGCCCATAGGCCCATGAATTTTGAACCTGTTCCCTCATGAGATCAGGGTGCCAATGAACTTCGGTACCTTCAGAACCAAATGCACCCCTTCTTTGACCTAGCCACCTTAAGCTAACACAACAATAAAAAGTCCCACCAAAACAGAATTAGTAGCACTAAGCTGAGCTGTTAGACCACTTTGCATAGCGAAAGAATGAAGTTCCCCACTAGTGGCAAACTTTAACAATTATTTTAAAAGCTGAAGTTTTTTGTCACATTCCCATATCCGCTTTTTCTCAGAGACTGAAAACTAAAGCCACTCCTTAATTTGAGAACAGTTTAAAAACTGTCTGAAAGAAGTTATGAAAATCCACAGTCAGCCCAATCAAACAACTCACTTCTGTATATGAAGTCTTGCAACAGCAATCACTAGTGCTAGTGCCACCAAGAAATTATTGTTACTCCTGCCTGGGAATTGATCTGTAGAGCAGCGCTCATAAGTCCTATCATAGGAAGAAGGAATCAATAAGTACACTTGCATGGAATACTCCACAATTCCTAGTACACCTCTACCCCGATATAATGCTGTCCTCGGGAGCCAAAAAATCTTACCGCATTATAGGTGAAACTGCGTTATATTGAACTTGCTTTGATCCGCCCGAGCGCACAGCCCCGCCCCCTCGGAGCACTGCTTTACCACGTTATATCCGAATTCGTGTTATATCGGATCGTGTTATATCGGGGTAGAGGTGTATCTAGCCATTCTATCCATGTACGTGGCATTTCTGCTTCCTCCTTTAGAAATTAGAAGGGGAACTAGTATACACAAGAACTAAAAAAATCCAACTCTCTCATAACTGCATCGTTATGTCACCAGCGACATTTTATCAAGGGAAAACTGTCTTCTACTGACTAGACAGCAAGTTACAGGACAGAGTCTACTGCAAAGGAAAGCTTTTATTCCCTAGCAAACCTTTATCAGAAGTGCAAGAACTATACATCAATAGGTTGTCTAGACGTTTTTTTAAAGCAGAAGCCTATACTGACTGTATGTTTTTGTACTGCTGATTTAATTATTAGTGTCTGCAGGTACAGACAAGATAACAAGGATATTCAAATTCAGAATGACATGATTCATACATTGCTATTGGCATACATGCTGTTACTCCTCATTGGACAAATTATAAAGTCACACAGGACCCATAGTCACACAAGAAGAATTATCTTCTTTGGGAGGAGAGGGAGGAAAGAGCAGAAAAGGAATCTTACACAGTCTTGCTTCCATGTAAATGTCTTTAGAATTTCAGAATAATGGAAAAAGAACAAAATATAATGTATAAAAGCAAAATGATTTCTCAGGAGAAGATTTTTCAAGGTTTCCAAGCAACTCTTGCTTCTTATTTTCCATTTGAAATCATAATCTACTGTAGTCTTTGGGTTGCAAATTGAAGTCAGTCAGAAAGAGGTATCTAATCCACTTTTCCAGCCATCAAATGTTAAACCAAAATAGGATTATTATGACTTCAGGTGAGAGTTAAGAAGCAGATTACCCTCGAGAAACAAAATCCTCCTTCAAGGCCAAATATACTTACTACCAAAGAGCAAGATAAGGGAAACACAAAATGCATGTTTAGAAAGATCATTTCTAACATGTTCTTCAGTGCTTTTCACAAGACACAGCTGGTTACTAAATCATGTAAAATATTACATCACTGCTATGGAAATACTGTGGTAAAATGTTTTTACTATTGATCCTTTTTATTGGCTGCCATAATGTTGAAGTTAGTCCTCTGCCTGCTTCCTCCTCATCCCTGAGCATTTGTGCATTACATCTGTCTAACGAAAAGGCTGCTGGAAGGTAGGGAGTAACACTCTTCCCTTCTTTCTTTATAAAAGCACAGAATATCAATTTCTGGTACAGATTTTAAAACTAAATATAGCACAGAACTGAACTTTTGATTTTTCATTTTGTCTGGAATCCTCTTTTGGAACAACACACCAAGCTCTGTAGGTGTGACCACTTTACTTAGTTTGATTTAAAGCCCAATTACTTTCCACCTGAGATGGCACACAATTATGCGACACTATCATTTTCCCTGTCAACTATATTTTTTTCAGTAGCTAACTCTCAAAGTATTTTCTAATGTTAATTTATACATTGCCAGTTCTTACCTTCCAAAACAGAATACTACAATGTCGACAAAAATGTAATGTGTCCCCATATTGTTCCTTTATTGGATAACACTTCTGAAGTGCAAAATACATCAGCTTCCAGTCAATGTGACCTTTTTCCGACAGGATCAAATGCCTACAGAACTGGACATAAAATTAATATTTTTCTTTGAATTGTTAGCAGAAAGTAATCAAGTCAATCAAAGGCTGAAGTATAACAGAATAGTTCAACATAAATTATTTTATAATGGGGGCTCTCTCAGGCTAATATTCTGACTCATATACACAACTTCATGGAGTGTCAACTTGAAACTCTGAAGCACAGTTTTAGAGACCCATCCATATAAAGGTGATTTATGCCATATTCTAGTCCATACCCCTCTAAATATTTGAGATCTTCCCAATGAAACTAAATTAGGTAGAACAATACAAAACAGAAAATACAGATTTGTTAAACTATATTGGGCCATACTCCTAATTGGGGCAACTCCACTGACTTGAAAGGGCCAAGTTAATAATTCTCTTGTTGCATACGAATACGATTTTAAGAGTTATATAGAAAAAATATTGCACTGAATATTTTTTTCACTTCTAAACTGATGAAAGATGATCACGTATTACAACTGGTGGCTTATTGTGAGGACCGTAGCTGTAAAATACTCCCCTGTAAAGTACAGACAAAGCAACCAAGGCTTTAGACTTTATAAATGTAGCCTTAGGCTACATATTTTTCACAATTAAGGTATTTTACACAACTATTATTAGAAACTTAAATAATGTTTTTCTTTTAATTTTAAATAAATGCATGCTAGTCTTACTTGCACATGCTTTGTATATCCTTTTTGGAAGCATGGGACATTGAAGCACATGGACAGATGTACTGCCTAATTTTTCCAAGCAACAGTGCAAGAATCCTTCAAATCAATGTGGTTTCTACTAGCGTATTGAGAAGACAGCAGAAAACATTGGAACATGGTGAAGGTTACGGTCATATTGCTGCTTGTAAAGTGACACATTTTTAACCTGAGGCAAATTACAGTTTAATAGCCCCCCCAAAACCCTATAGATTCAGTTATGTTATTAGTCCACTTACAAGCTGCTTGGAAACTCCATGTTAGAGTTCAGAAAGACTTTTTTTTTTTTTTTTTTTTTAAAGTATTTTTACACTAGTATGTAGAGATCCTGTATCTGACATGTTACACTGATGTGCTGGAGTGATTTTTATTTCTTATATTATCTTAAGAAAACAGCTTCCTCTCTAGCCATTGTGATCTTTGTTCAGAATCCTTCTCCTCTTCCCCTCTTCAAAATTCCCTGACTTTGTACATCAAATTCAAAATGCTCAACCCCACCCTGCCTACTTCTTAGCTATTGTTCTTCCTACGCCTGCTCCCATAGCCTACATTTACCACAAATCACCCTCCTAAGCTCTCCTTTGGCATACTACTTCTATTCCCCTGCCTTTGCATCTTTTGCCAAGATGCCATGTCAGTTTGGGACTCCTTCCATCCCTCTCCTTGTGAAACAATCACCATTTATTTATTAGTTAAGATCCATTTTGAGCTCAGTGCTATATAGTCAATAAAATAAAACCATTTTGCCCCAAAGAGTTTACAGTCTTAAAGACAGAGGAGACAGGATGGGATACGCTGGGCAACTCAGACGATGAAGTGACATTTAAAATCAACGTTTCATGTGAGCATGTGGAATTAGCAAGTCTTTAGAACCACTGTCTCTATTCAAGCCCCAACTTAGAATGCTTCTATGAAGATATTCACATTAATATCACCTTGCTGGATTACAAACAATCTCAAAACAGTACAGATTTTTTTATCATCAGAGATAATTTGTTGTGGCCAGTTTGTATAATTCACTGAATTTAGTATTTTTTGAGGTGGCATTGATGCCTTCTTTGATGCTTTAAATGGCAGAGAGCACACTGATGGCATTCAAGGAATACAGTAATAATAATGTGGGACTTTATCCTGAAAGAATAAAACATTGGTACAATTGGATTAGCTCAGCCCAATGATTAGAGAACAATGTCTGGTTAGCTCTTCTCCATGATATTTGCAAGAGTGACACCTGGAAAACACCCCTCTCAAATCTTCACAAAACAGTGGCCATGCCTACCTCACGCTTGCAACTTCTTGAGAATCCCAGAATTTCCTGTAGTGGAATATTTACTATTCATCTGATGAGGCCTTCGTTCTTGCCCTCTGTATCTCTTTATATCTATTTTCAAACAGTGTGCACTGTATTTTGTACATATATTCAACATTAAGTAGTAATTTAGCTCAGTGTTTGTATAAAGCCATGAATGGTCAGACATGAAGTTCTACACTATTCTCCTCTTTGACTATTAGGAGTGGAAGAAGGGTTAATTTTTCTAAGTTTGGTCTAAGGCCTTAGAGTTCACCCAATGTAGCAGGAAGAGGCTATTCTGACTCACTTCCAGCCAGTACTGGAATTTCTTTGACAGTTGTTTGGAAAGCAGTTCTTAAACTCTTAGCCTTGTGTGTTAAAGGGCAAGGGTGTGTGTGTAGACACACAAACACACACTACTAGTGGGGGTTTAAAGAATGGGTAGGTTAACATAACAACGGCCATACTGCGTTAGACCAAAGGTCCATCCAGCCCAGTATCCTGTCTGCCGACAGTAGCCAATGCCAGGTGCCCCAGAGGGAGTGAACCTAACAGGCAATGATCAAGTGATCTCTCTCCTGCCATCCATCTCCTCCCTCTGACAAACACAGGCTAGGGACACCATTCCTTACCCATCCTGGCTAATAGCCATTAATAGACTTAACTTCCATGAATTTATCTAGTTCTCTTTTAAACCCTGTTATAGTCCTAGCCTTCACAAACTCCTCAGACAAGGAGTTCCACAGGTTGACTGTGTGCTGTGTGAAGAACTTGCTTTTATTTGTTTTAAACCTGCTGCCCATTAATTTCATTTGGTGGCCCCTAGTTCTTATGGGAACAAGTAAATAACTTTTCCTTATTCACTTTCTCCACACCACTCATGATTTTATATATCTCTATCATATGCCCCCATAGTCTCCTCTTTTCCAAGCTGAAAAGTTCTAGCCTCTTTAATCTCTCCTCATATGGGACCCGTTCCAAACCCCTAATCATTTTAGTTGCCCTTCTCTGAACCTTTTCTAATGCCAGTATATCTTTTTTGAGATGAGGAGACCACATCTGTACGCAGTATTCAAGATGTGGGCGTACCATCAATTTATATAAGGACAATAAGATATTCTCTGTCTTATTCTCTATCCCCTTTTTAATAATTCCTAACATCCTGTTTGCTTTTTTGACTGCCGCTGCACACTGCGGGGACGTCTTCAGAGAACTATTCACGATGACTCCAAGATCTCTTTCCTGATTAGTTGTAGCTAAATTAGCCCCCATCAAATTGTATGTATAGTTGGGTTTATTTTTTCCAATGTGCATTACTTTACATTTATCCACATTAAATTTCATTTGCCATTTTGTTGCCCAATCACTTAGTTTTGTGAGATCTTTTTGAAGTTCTTCACAGTCTGCTTTGGTCTTAACTATCTTGAGCAGTTTAGTATCATCTGCAAACTTTGCCACCTCACTGTTTACCCCTTTCGCCAGCTCATTTATGAATAAGTAGAATAGGATTGGTCCGAGGACTGACCCTTGGGGAACACCACTAGTTACCCCTCTCTATTCTGAAAATTTACCATTTATTCCTACTCTTTGTTCCCGGTCTTTTAACCAGTTCTCAATCCATGAAAGGATCTTCCCTCTTATCCTATGACAACTTAATTTACGTAAGAGCCTTTGGTGAGGGACCTTGTCAGAGGCTTTCTGGAAATCTAAGTACACTATATCCACTGGATCCTCCTCCAAATGTTTGCTAAGCCCTTCAAAGAACTCTAATAGATTAATAAGACATGATTTCTCTTTACAGAAACCATCTTGACTTTTGCCCAACAATTTATGTTCTTCTATGTGTCTGACAATTTTATTCTTTACTATTGTTTCAATTAATTTGCCTGGTACTGACGTTAGACTTACCGGTCTGTAATTGTTGGGATCACCTCTAGAGCCCTTTTTAAATATTGGCGTTATATTAGCTATCTTCCGGTCATTGAGTACAGAAGCGGATTTAAAGGACAGATTACAAACCATAGTTAATAGTTCCACAATTTCACATTTGATATCTTTCAGAACTCTTAACAGTAACAAGTCACTGGGACCTAAGTTTATCAATTAATTCCAAGACCTCCTCTAATAACACTTCAATCTGTGACATTTCCTCAGGACTTGTCACCTACAAAGGACGGCTCAGGTTTGGGAATCTTCCTAACATCCTCAGCCGTGAAGACTGAAGCAAAGTTTATTTAGTTTCTCTGCAATGACTTTATCGTCTTTAAGTGCTCCTTTTGTATCTCAATCGTCCAGGGGCCCCACTGATTGTTTAACAGGCTTCCTGCTTCTGATGTACTTAAAAAACATTTTGTTATTACCTTTTGAGTTTTTGGCTAGCTGTTCTTCAAATTCCTTTTTGGCTTTTCTTATTACATTTTTACATTTAATTTGGCAGTGTTTATGCTCCTTTCTATTTACCTCATTAGGATTTGACTTCCACTTTTTAAAAGATGCCTTTTTATCTCTCACTGCTTCTTTTACGTGGCTGTTAAGCCATGGTGGCTCTTTTTTAGTTCTTTTACTGTGTTTTTTAATTTGAGATATACATTTAAGTTGGGCCTCTATTATGGTGTCTTTGAAAAGTGTCCATTCAGCTTGCAGGGATTTCACTCTAGTCACTGGTTTCAGAGTAGCAGCCGTGTTAGTCTGTATCCGCAAAAAGAACAGGAGTACTTGTGGCACCTTAGAGACTCTATATGCATCTGAAGAAGTGGGTTGTAGCCCACGAAAGCTTATGCTCTAATAAATTTGTTAGTCTCTAAGGTGCCACAAGTACTCCTGTTCTTTTTACTCTAGTCACTGTAGCTTTTAATTTCTGTTTAAATAACCTCCTCATTTTTGCATGGTTTAACTTTCTGAAATTAAATGCCACGGTGTTGGGCTGCTGAGGTGTTCTTCCCACCACAGGAATGTTAAATGTTATTATATTATGGTCACTATTTCCAAGCGGTCCTGTTATAGTTACCTCTTGGACCAGATCCTGTGTTCCACTCAGGACTAAATCGAGAATTGTCTCTCCCCTTGTGAGTTCCTGTACCAGCTGCTCCAAGAAGCAGTCATTTAAAAGTATTGAGAAATTTTGTCTCTGCATTTCGTCCTGAGGTGACATGTACCCAGTCAATATGGGGATAATTGAAATCCCCCACTATTGTTGAGTTCTTTATTTTGATAGCCTCTCTAATCTCTGTTAACATTTCATAGTCACTATCACTGTCCTGGTCAGGTGGTTGATAATAGATCCCTACTGTTATATTCTTACTAAAGCATGGAATTACTATCCATAGAGATTCTATGGAACATGTGGATTCATTTAAGATTTTTACTTCATTTGATTCTACATTTTCTTTCACATATAGTGCCACCCCCCACCACACCCCGCATGACCTGTTCTGTCCTTCCGATATATTTTGTATCCTGGAATGATTGTGTCCCATTGATTGTCCTCACTCCACCAGGTTTCTGTGATGCCTATTATATCAATATCCTCCTTTAACACGAGGCACTCTAGTTTACCCATCTTATTATTTAGACTTCTAGCATTTGTGTACAAGCATTTTAAAAAAACTTGTCCCTGTTTATTTGTCTGCCCTTTTCTGATGTGTCAGATTCTTTTTTATGTGAATGTTTCTCATCTGATCTGGCCCATACTTTATCCTCTTCCATCCTCTCCTCCTGACTAAAACCTAGAGAATCTCTATCAATAGACTCTCCTCTAAGAGAAGTCTCTGTCCGATCCACGTGCTCCTCTGCAGCAATTGGCTTTCCTCCATCTCTTAGTTTAAAAACTGCTCTGCAACCTTTTTAATGTTAAGATCCAGCAGTCTGGTTCCACTTTGGTTAGATGGAGCCCATCCTTCCTGGATAGGCTCCCCCTATCCACAAAGTTTCCTCAGTTCCTACTAAATCTAAACCCCTCCTCCCTACACCATCGTCTCATCCACGCATTGAGACTCTGAAGCTCTGCCTGCCTACCTGGCGTGGAACTGGAAGCATTTCTGAGAATGCCACCATAGAGGTCCTGGATGTCACTCTCTTTCCTAGCAGCCTAAATTTGGCCTCCAGGACATCTCTCCTACCCTTCTCTATGTCATTAGTACCTACATGTAGCACTGGCTCCTCCCCAGTACTACACATAAGTCTATCTAGATGCCTCGAGGTTAAAGTCCAGATGGTCATGAATATCAATGTTATTAGGTGAACTCAGACTAATGCATGCATGGTAAAAGTTACTTGTATACAAGAAAATCTACTCATAATAGTCTAGGTTGAGAAATATAATCTAGAAGCTCATGGCTGACTGTTCAGATTTGTATAATTTATGAAAAATCTTAGCTTGAAGCACCTATTACCTTGTCATCTAAAATGCATATACTAAAGCTTTAAGAGTCCAATCTACCACAGTTGGCAAGAATGGTGGGAAAAATGGAGGAAAAAAAGCGTAGTGTAGTCACTGCCTCCACTGTCCTCCCCACCACTGCATGGGGAACATCCGGATAAAGTCTCTTGGGTTGATGTAGAGAGCACATTTCTCACAGAAATAAATGGGAACTGAGGTTAGACACCACCTCTGAAAAAAACAGATCACTTTCCTGTTACCCACACTGCCATAGTTCAACGTGAAAGCAAGGGCAAATTCACTGAGGAATTCATACAGTATCAGATTTAACACACACACACATAACTCTCTCTCTTGTTACCTGTTTTTCTGCAAAATGATACTGGCAAAGTTTTTTCCACAACTGCCTGTCTTCGCTGAGCATGTACAGTGTTGGGGTCACTTGACCTAGCGTAATAATGTCCCAGCCATCTGAGAACCTGTATAAAATGTTATTCAGCATATGCAGAGGGAGATCGCTGAGCGTGAGACCATTGTTGACTTGCTGAAAAAAAAAAAAAAAAAAGAGTTAAAAGTTAACTGCATGGAGTTGTTAGTATAACATAAGTAGGGTTTTCAATTTTAGGTTTAAACCAATAAAGCTACCTCCGTTTTTTTTATTTCACCTTTTAAAATTTAATATTTTTTATAATTATATATATATGTATGTGTGTTTCCCTGAAAAAATATGGACCAGGGTTTTTTTTTTTTTTTATATGGACCAGGTTTTTTTTTTTTTGATATTTTGATCATTTGGTTTTCAACATTTGTTAGATTATTCTGCAAGTTTGTTATTGAAAATTAAATACCTCAAGGAATAGAAGTTGAAAATGTGGTTTTGCAGTTCTTAGTTTTTCTGGTTTTAAGTGAATGAGAATTCTTAGAACCTAAAGTTTTGCTTTGGATGAAAAAGCTTTTGGAAAGCAGTCTGAAAATTAGTTAAAAGTTGCATACAACACCAACTTTCAGAAAAATGCACACGTTAAAAACGTACCCATAGTTTCCCTGCACTATAGTCAATCCTGAACCTTATTATAGTTAATTGGACAATCAGAAATAAGAGAAACCATTATTAAAAAGCACTGACGTTTATGTTAATTACTCAACAGGATATGCAATAGATATGGAATGTAGGAGTCGGAGGGAAGAGGGTAGGACAAATCCCACCTCTGCAGAGAGCCCCCAACAGATGAAATAGTGATTCTGCCACACTTATAGGAGAGCGAATATAGAGTGGGCGACCCAAAGGAATATGTATCACTGACCAGAGTCCTCTTCTATGGGGTCTCTGTGTAGCAGCACCTAGGGTGGGTACTAGAGAGGTTCTCTTCCTTGCAGCAGGGGCATGGGAGATGTAAAAAGTGCCTTGTCCTTTTCTCTATTTGAACCTACTGGAAGGGGCTGGGCACAATAAGAGACATTGTTAGGGACTATATAGAGCTAGCACTGCTGTCACTGTTTTGTGCAAGGGATGACAGTGGCCCCACCTAGTGGAATTGACCAGATGCAAAGGGAAGCATATGCATCATTCTCTTCAATCGTATTACAGCAGTTGCACTCCCTAGAGTGGCTGGGTCCAATAGACAGCTCTAGCTTAATGTCACAATTTAGCTCTTTACACTTATTAGTCTTGCTTATAGAATATGCTTTCTGTAGTGACATCTTGTGTATAGTTTTTCAGAGATCATCATGCTCAGGCATCTGTGAACATAATGACTCCAATCTTGCATTTGTAATACATAACTAAAGCAAAAGCACTCAGTGGAAGTTACTGATATAAAATAAAGGAAATAACAAGTCAATCAACTATCTGCCAAGCAAGGATGGTGTTTTGGTTTGTTGGCCACATGACAAATATCTTCAAGACTGAATTTCCCAGTTTTTTTAGTGTGATCTATCTTCTATTTAAAAATTTGTTGTGATTTATTCAGGGCAGAATGATAAAGTAACCAGGCAGAGTAAATTCCTAATTCCATCCCCGCTACCCACCAAATAAGCAAAGCTGCATATTAGATAAGCAGTTATATTACTTTATTGCTGCCAAGATCTTGTAACTTTGCTTCAGGGTGGGTTGATTTAAGTAATCTATTTTAATCATGTTTTGCACTGATACCTCTTTCTTTAGGAAAATAACTAAAGTCTATTCTCATTGGTTGGTAGCTGCAAATCCATTAACACATGTGGATTTGCAGCTAAATATAGCTTTTCCACTAAATTTGCTACTTCTTTTTGCTAACCAGGAGACACAATGTATCTATCCTCATTTATTTAAGCAATTAGATAGCTTAACATACATTTATTCATTCTTAATTTTTATATTTTTTATTATGTTAGAAAATGGTGAATGATACACTTCTCATTTACTAGATGACTGTTTACTCATGATTTGTGTCAAGCTCTATTTGGAAATTGGAATTGAATTAAAAATACACAAAAACAGAATTTTAAAAGTGTTTTTGTTCATTAAATTAAACTACGTTAATTGTACTGAATACATATAAAAAAGTTATCAAAACATGCTTTGCATTTAAAACTGACTGATTAAACAAAAGAAATATTATCTGTAGTTAGTGAATTGAACTCCTTGTTTCTAGTCACTATGTCCTTCAAGACTTTAGAACCAGTAGGTCTCATCCTCTCACACCTAGTTTCTCTTCCTAGACTGGAAGAGGAAAACAAGTTTTCCTGTTTTTTCAACTCCCAATTGGTTTCTTAACTTTGAATGAACTAGTCATTGAACTGAAACTCAAATAAACTGAAATGAAGAAAATATTCCCTTTCCACCTCCAGAAGAGGCTAGTGCTGTCAAAAGCATCAACACAGTCTGGTTCTAGGTGCTTCACCAGTGACTTCTACCAGTTTGGTGGTTTCACTTTCTTTAAAACTTCACTAGCAAATGTGTGCTGTTCAATATGATTTTAAGAGATTATAATAAATGTAGGCCTTAACATATGTAGTCCGTTTCAAATTTAGTTCTAAACGGGTTTATTTTTAAAAAGAAAAATGCATTTAATTTAAATCCGATTTAAACCAAAACAATGTGATTTAAATTGAAAATATTTTTTTGAAATAAATTTGTATCCCCCATGATTATCACACAGACCCTTAGAATTGCCACTGTAAATGCTTAAAGTGATAGACACAGCATTGGGGTGGGTAGTGGAACTGGGTGAGATGGGGGGCTAGTATTCCACCCCTAGGTAAACTTGTGCAAACCTCAGGGAGGAGGGGGCTGGAGGAGGCAAGAGCCCAGAAGCAGAGAGAAATACCTGGGACTCTCCTTCCCAGCCTGCAGCTGACTGCCCTTCCTCCTACTCCCCACACCGAGTCTCAGTACCTCCCTTTGCTGCCTCTCCTAACCCTCTGTCGCCCCCTACAGTATGCTTAAAAAGAAAAAAAAAAAAGCTGTGACCCAGATCCAAACTTTGCTTCCAGAAGTGTTACCTAGTTTCATAGAACCCCCCTCCCCCCGTTGGCTTGCATAGCTTTGGAATCGCTACTTCAATGCTTTATTCATGTTTTCTTGGTCCTTCTCTAATCTTGGATTTCAGGTCTGTGTCTCCTTAGTAAGGTAGAGTTATTGTATCTGTCTGACCAGTGAATAATTATCTCTAAATAGTCAGATTAAGGTCGACAGAGAGCTATCAGTTTTGAAACTTATGGTTGGGCTATCAGAAAATTAAGTCTGTGAACATCTGCCAGGAGTCATTTAATGCATGTTGCTAAAGTTTAAAGTTACTGTTTTCCTTTTCACAAAAAAAAGGATATTAAAATACTTAGTGAGTGTAAAATAATTGAACTTTAATTTTATATCTTTATATCATCATTTGTGCAGAATAACTAATAAGTCAAGTAAAAATGGCTTTAGACATATTTAAAACTTTGCTTGTACACAGATCAATAGCCAGTATTCAAAAGCACTTTCTCCCTTTTTACCTCATATTTCTGATTTAACAAATTCAATATACCTTGTTCATCTGAAGATTTTTTAGCTGTTGTTGCCATGTAAGGATAGTTTCTAATCGGCAAATCCAAATATTGATGTTCCCCACCAACACAGATTTCCCTACTCCCCTAATTAGTATACAGAGAGTAGAACTCAGATCCTGAAGAAGATCTTTGATTAAGCGTGGATTGTGCTGGTCTTCCAAAACTGAAAAAGAAGAATAAGAGTTACTCTTTTGATTTGTTACATTTAACCCAAGTTATTGACATTTCCCTATCTAAAGTAACTCAAACTGCAGTTGAGCAGTGGTTTCACTTCCAAACTAAATGCCCTGATCCCACAATGGAATTTGCTCTGGCAGATCCCACAGGTGCAGGATTGATGCTTAGGACAATACTGCTATCAAGGCATCAGTGCAACATTTCATGCCATGTGTTAATAAAATTAATGCTGTATCTTAGTTATTCAAGTGGATTTCCTATTTTCAATAGATAGTATTAAATGTCTTCCAAATACAGTGGTCACCTTTAAAAAAACCCAACATTTTCCAACATTAATACGCAAGAGCACAGTTTTCTTATTATACACACCGGGAATAATTGCAGTTTCTTGCATACCTCTGTTGGGTAACTTGGCAAATTTGGACTAAAATGTTTTAGTTCATCATGCAAAGGAATTTTTTAAAAAAAGACATACACGTGTATTCACGTTAATAAAAACAGGAATAGTTTTGTTCAAAACTAAGAAATTTTAGATTTGATAAAGAGTACAGAATAGTAAAAGAGAAACCATGAACTTCTGACCGTGAAGGATAATCTCTGATTTCACTTTATACATTTGTTTTGAATGATATTCTTCAATGTAAAGAAACTGGTTAAAAAGTATATTAGATTTCCACTAATTAAATATGCCATTACCTTTGTTTTGTGACATAAGCAGTACATATAAAAATAATGAAACTAATTGAAAGGTCAGAAAAGCAACTCAGTCAATGCTAATGAACCCTGAACATACCCTTTCGTACAATTTTGTCCAAAATATTAAAGTAGTTCTTCTGTGCTGCACCACTCAGTGAGGTTAGCTGAGATTTTGCAATTAACTGCAACAACTAAAACAGAAAAAAATTAACATTAGAATGAAGGACTACAAAAATCAAGCATGCTTTAAATAGATATTCTTCTATGAAAGACTGTAGCATCACAGTTATGGCTTATGAAAAAACTTTAGTAGCTACAGTGCTAGGGAGAGAAAAAAATAGGATATAAATTAAAGAAAACTGAAAGTATACAGAAGGTTCCACTAACTATTTAAATAACCTCTCATTAGTAACTCATATTGCGACATACATTTTCACTGTACTGTACAAATATTAATTATATTTCTGAGGTTCCTACCAAATAGACTTCAGAAAAAAATCCACATAGTCCAAGATTAGTAAAATATAGTTACATTTCTTGCAGCTCATGGGGTAATTCCTCTCTTCACCTTAGTTCTTAGAAAAGCTACCATGTACAAGAAAAGCTACTATGTACAACTGCAAAGGGCACATAATTCAAAACTTGCTTTAAGTGTTATGTTTTCTGACAGAGCATGTACACTGATGGTCATAATTTTTTCCTTTTTAAATCTTAACATTCTGATTTTATTTTAAATTGCTATGCCATATTCAAAATTCCACAGCAATCAAATTGAAGGACTGACTCTAAACAATGTTAACAGAAGCCATATAGCTGTCTGAAAGGCGCTAATGCTGAGAATTCTCAGAAAGGGTAGCTGTGCATCTAAGGGCTTTCTGCAACTCCATCATCGCAGTATTCAGTTGCTCATGAGATAAATTTAATTTGCCTACTGAGGTCCACTGAACCTCATGGAGTTGCATTACTTTAGATAGAATACACAGGCCAAAGGCATTAGCATAACTCAGTCACTATCCAACATTCAAATTGTGTACCAAACCCTGAACCTTGTTTAAAACTGAGACCTCAGCCTGCATAGTACCATAGTAAAAAAAAATTAAATATACTTTAAACTTTTTACTGAAGTTATAGAAAAGAAGGAAAAACAGTTAAAGCATTTGAAATGTAGAGTATTACATAAGGCTTTAATTTTAACAACTTCCCTTTCTCTTTAGCTACAGAAAGTTTTCAGAAGAAAAATGTACCCTGTGTTCGACTCTTTTAGATGGTATCAAAGATGGCAATAACAATCCTTTCTGGTAGAGCCCTGCGCGGATATGAAATTTATATCCGCATCCGATCCATGGATATCCACATCCCCGGATGTGGAGATCTGTGAATATAAGTGGATATCCGCAGATTTGCAAAGCTGTACTTTTTGGGAAAAGAAGTTAGTTGAGATGGGCTGAAGCTGTCATTGTTGCTCTTGTTGAAGTCTAGAGAAAGGACCACCAAGGAAAGAAAATGCAGCTTCTGTCTCTGAGATGACTCTCATTTGCAACCTCACTGCTGGAGAAACACATGGAGATCTCACAGTCTCATCACCATTCCGAGACATGCAAAACATATACCAGCATTAGACTCTTCAGGGCATTGCTCTTAGCTGCTCATTCCTGGTCACAGGCTTACAGCAATATTGCACAACAGAATCATGGAATCACAGAATATCAGGGTTGGGAGGGACCTCAGGAGGTCATCTAGTCCAACCCCTGCTCAAAGCAGGACCAATTCCCAACTAAATCATCCCAGCCAGGGCTTCGTCAAGCCTGACCTTAAAAACCTCTAAGGATGGAGATTCCACCACCTCCCTAGGTAACCCATTCCAGTGCTTCACCACCCGCCTAGTGAAAATGTTTTTCTTAATATCCAACCTAAACCTCCCGCACTGCAACTTGAGACCATTACTCCTTGTTCTGTCATCTGGTAACACTGAGAACAGTCTATATCCATACTCTTTGGAACCCCCTTTCAGGTACAGGGAAACCCCGCTATAAAGCGCCCCGCGATAATGCGAATTTGGATATAGCGCGATCATAAGGTGGCTCCCGCCGCCCCAAGAGCGCAAAAAAAAGCAACGTGCCTTCCCCACTGCCTCTTCCCCCTTGCCCCTGCTTCTCCTTTTGGCAGGAAGAGCCATTCTCCTCCCCAGCTGGTCCTCACTCTTCCTCTGCCCCTTGCACATCTCCCCTGCTCTCTGCCCAAGAGAAATTGACCGGCTTGAAACTGACCAGCTTTAAATGGTAAACTTTTCGTAACCCAGCTATACCGCGACCCCGCATTTATCGCGATTGAATTTTTTGGACCCTAATCATCGTGTTATAGCGGGGTTTCACTGTAGTTTAAAGCAGCTATCAAATCCCCCCTCATTCTTCTCTTCTGAAGACTAAACAATCCCAGTTCCCTCAGCCTCTCCTCATAAGTCATGTGCTCCAGCCCCTCTCAATGATAGGTGGGTGGTGAGAAGAAGGTAGGGTGACCAGATGTCCCGATTTTATAGGGAAAGTCCCGATATTTGGGGCTTTTTCTTATATAGGCTCCTATTACCCCCCACCCTCTGTCCCGATTTTTCACACTTGCCATCTGGTCAGCCTAGAAGAAGGGTTGGGACTGGCCTGAAAGGGGAAGCAGCCAGAGACGATCAAAGTCCTTCTGCACATGAATGTCCAGCTTTTAAAAAGTCAGGAGTGATTTTTCCCCTCTGTGTTTTTTTCCCCCCTCTCTCTTTCTTTCTTTCAAGTTGTACTTGTAGGCTTCCCTTGTTTTGAAGCTGAAGAGGGGGCTCTCTCCTGGACAAATAGGCTGCTCTGAGCCCTTAAGTGGTGTAAAGGAGCTTCAATTTAAATGCATGCAAGGGAAATCCTGGTGCAAGAGACACCACTAAAACCCATTTCCACTGAGCTCTTTAGACAGTTCTGTTACAAAGAACAGAAGCCATGTCTAAGGGGAAAAAATTGCTTTTTGTCACAATTAACATAAAATCACATTAAACATAAGGTAGAAAATAAGAGAAGTTACATGTTGGGGCCTACATTAATGATAAATCAGAAGTTGGAGATGGAAATGAGACTATAGAATTTTGATATTGGCACAAATAATTTGTTTGCATAGTGAGACATCAGAACAAAAACCTTATTCACAGCTGCAATCACTATATTAAAATGCTTTTACATATCAGCTTTCTAGATGTGTTGATTGAATTCACACTCATCTCCTACCATACCACAATGGGAAAACTGGATAGTTTGCTACTCACACTACTGATTCTCTTAATTTCTCATAAATTTTCTGTATTCATAATAAAAGAGTTATATGCATATAAAGAGCTTGTTTAGATAGACTTTTTCCTAAAGGAAAAAGGAAAAAGTTACAATTTCCAGCATTCACAAACTGACGTTTAACTAATGTGCACTAAGTGTGCTCAGCCTTTTTAATTTCATTACTTTAAAAAGGAGATCCAAGGTCAATTCTTTTTGACTACACTGTAGTTAAGTCACATTATGAGAGAGAACTTTTTGAACTTGGGACTGGACAATTTCAGCAAAGCTCAATTAATCATTTTACAGGATCTAACACTTCAAAGGTGGTATTCCCGATCCCTTGAAAAGCCGTACGGACAGTTTTATTCTATACTATAGAACCTTTCTAATTGGTGCTAATAAGTGGGAAGCCCATTGCCATTTTGAAGGTGAACAAATAAATGCATTAAAGCTTTTAAAGTACAATTAAAAATACATTTTATTGTTCTGGTCTATGGTGGTTGTTTTCTTACTGTATAATGTATTAAAGCATATTTTACAAATATAAGTGATGTCATAAGACTTTATTATAAACCCTCACTACAAAACTCTACTAAATACTTGCTTGAGAAGTAGGGGGAACAGACTGCTAGGTTTGCTGGGGATTTTTAGTACAGATTAGGACTGTAGTTTTTGTATGGGGCTTTCATTTATGTTCCTGAAATATTAATTTCTAGCTTCCTCTCAGAGAAGATAAATTCCTACCAAAGGGGAGATGCATTAGGTCATTAAGTAGGAATAAAAAAATAACAGATAGAGAATACCCTTCTGGCACCTAAGGGGAAGAAAAAGGAGGTCTAATGCCACTTCATGAAACACTAACTCAATTTAGATAAAATTGGAACTGTGAGCAACTGATAATTGGGAACTATTTTATTTCAAGCAAATCCACATGAAGCATTTGGACCTTGATGCAGCACAGGAATCGGCAACCTTTGGCACATGGCTCACCAGGCTAAGCCCCCTGGCGGGCTGGGCCAGTTTGTTTACCTGCCGCCTCCGCAGGTTCGGCCGATCGTGGATCCCATTGGCCGCGGTTTGCCGCTCCAGGCCAATGGGGGCTGCGGGAAGTGGTGGTCAGCACATCCCTCGGCCCGCGCTGCTTCCCGCAGCCCCCATTGGCCTGGAGCGGTGAACCGTGGCCAGCGGGAGCCGCGTTCGGCTGAACCTGCGGAGGCGGCAGGTAAACAAACCGGCTCGGCCTGCCAGGGTGCTTACCCTGGCGGGCCGCATGCCAAAGGTTGCCGATCCCTGCTGCAGCAAATGCGCAGGCAATTTGTAGTGACCAGCTATGGAGATAAGAGAGTCAGCAAATTCTAGACCAAAACAACCACTATCTGCTGAGCTAACGGCTGACTGCTTCTCCCCTCTCTTCGACACCACTGAATGCAAATGCACAAGATGTGGCAGTTTTTTAGGAATCCAAAAGCACAGAGCACAAGAGCTTAAAAGATGTATTTAGGATGAGATTTTAAAACATTTTCTAGACACTCCTATAAACTCCACTGCAGAATGATGCAGATAAGTGGAGGAAAATGAAACTCTAAGCTTTCCTACACAGCATGAGCTTCGTAATTGGTTGACCCTTTTCCAAATATTGCAGAGATTTGCCGACATCACTGACTGTTGGGGAATTCCAATATTGTTACAATAGACCTAAGAAAGGAATGAAGTAGAAACTTGAAGTGTGATTGTGTTTTTATTGAGAGCCCTGAGACATCCAGAAAGGGGCTTTTACAGTTTTTCAACAAAACAAGTGTCATTCCCCACACCATAAACAGGTTTGCCAACTGTCTAATCACAACAACCCAAACACTCTTGCCTGCCCCACCCCTTCCTTGAGGCCCCACTCCTCC